CACACTTGCAGGGAGGCAGTCAGAAAGGCCAAAGCAGACATGGATCTTAGGCTGGCAACAAAAATTAAAGACAACAAAAAGGCCTTCTTCATGTATATAGGGAGTAAAAAGGTGTGGGGTAGCATAGGACCCCCCTACAGGAGAAACTAGGGCGATTAGTAACAGATGGCCTGCCAGGAGATGCTCTGTTTACCAGGTCACCCCTTGGAGTAACTAGGAACAACGGCCACAAACTGAGGGAGAGCAGATTTAGGTTAGACATCAAGAAGAACTCCTTTACGGTAAAGATTGCCAGAATCTGGAATGGGCTTCCAAGGGTGGTGGTGCTCTCCCCTACCTTGGGCGTCTTTAAGAGGAGGGTGGACATGTACCTGGCTGGAGGTCATCTGACCCCTGTGCTCTTTCCTGCCCAGAGCAGGGGGTCGGACTCGATGATCTACCAAGGTCCCTTCCGACCCAAACGTCTATGAATCTATGAACTACTGGCATCGACAACTGTTTTAGCATAGTATTCTGTAAACTACCCCATGGGAGTCACAGCAGATGTGTCTTCATTCAAACAGAGCCAGAAAGATGCCAGAAGCATTTATATTAAGATGTTTTACAGATCCAAAACCTTGGATGACCTTCCACCCAGAATTCAGAGATTTTAACTATGTCTAATGTGATTTTCTTTCATTATCAAACATTAACCAGGGAATCTGCTTGTAGCAACAGACACTTTAGCTAGAGTACCAGTTAGGCAGCCATCAGCAGAAACAGAAATAACTTTGGAAAAATTTATTAATCTATATACTGACCATGATCTGACAGTTTTGCCAGCATCTGATCCTAGACTGGAGCAAATCAGAAATGAGAATCAACAGGATGACACTTGCTAGAAACTAGTTTATTTCTATCAAAATGGATGAGGCCACAGGACGCAACTTCAAACAGACCTGCAACCATGTTGGCAGGACTGCAATGACCTCTACATAGCCAGTGCTCTTCCCCTGAAAAGAAGATGCATTGTGATCTTTCAGGTGCTTCAGGAAGAAACACTATTGAAGATCCACGAAGGACCCAGGGTATAAACAAACGCAGGGCAAGAGCACGGCAATCTATTTGGCGGCCCAGGCTGAGTAAGCAAATTCAGATTTTAGTAGAAAGTTGTGAGGAATGCATCAAAGACAAACAACTGTCATCAGAGCCAGTCCTTTCCACAAAGATACCAGCTAGATCTTGGCAGCAGGTAGCAAATGATTCATTTTTCTGGAAGGGACACACACACATTATTGTAGTTATTTTTCCAGATATACTGACTTTGCTTTACTTACACAGACCTCTGGCACAAGTCATCCAAACACTGAAGTCTGTATTTGCAAGGCATGGCAT